ACCTCCTTTCAAACAAGAGCACTACTACCAGTCGAGCCTGTGGCATTGATTCCTTCCCTAGTGGAAGGATTAGCCACTGCCCTTACAATCCTACCCTTGATCACAATTTTGATACTGTATGCCATGAACTTCACGTGTTCACTGTGAAAGTAAAGCCTTACACATTAAATTCTGATCACATCTGTATCCTGAACCCAGACTTACACTTCCGGAATTCGAGATACTTTGATAACGGCTTGGAGTGACCGGCATTGATTGCTTCCGACTGAAAGGATTAACCATCGTCTTACTCTCTTGCTCCGCTTGGTCTTACAGCTACTTCCCTTCTGTGGTCCCTCGTCTACTATGAGCCCAGAGTTACACTGTAGGAATTCGAGATACTTTGGAATGACCCTTCCCCCCCCCGTTCCTCGGCCGCCAATGCAGCCCTTAGTGCCCCCCCCTTCCCATTTAAATTTAAACCTTGTGTGCCATCCGTGTTTGGTTCCCCTATTTTGCCTGTTCCCAGTGTCCTTGTTTGGGGCTTTGTGAATCCCCTCTTGCTTTTGACCCCGTCCGCTATATACTCGGTTTCCAGGGCTTGCATCAGGCCTTCCCATGCCTGTGGAGTCCGTTAGATGATCGGTTTCCAGGGCTTGCATTAGGCCTTTTTTCCCATGCCTGTGGAACCTGCGCTTGTGTTCTATTGATTGATTGTTTTTCTTTTTCTGGCATCCTCTCTTCCATATGGTCCATAGGACCAGTGTTATGGTCCATAGGACCAGTGCTCTTCACCTCTGGAACAGCTTTCATTCCCAGCTTTGCTGGGCTTTTGGTGTTACAAATCCTGTTAATCAACTTAATCTGGGGAGTTCTGCTTCTGGGAGGGACTATCCAGCAATGGCTTCCCATATACCCTGGCAGCGCTCTTTCCCATATTTGTTTTGCCTTGACATATTTGAGTACGCAATGCTGTACGTTCTCAACTTCTGCAGAGCTGCAGATAGTGCATAAGTCGTTGAGGCTTCTGAGTTCACTCTCGCTTCGCTGGTTCGGCCACTGGTTAACTGGGATAGGTAGATAACTAGTTAAGTATTGCAGACTCCATTACTCTCCCATTTCTAATTGATGGTCCAAAAGACATATGGTGAAATTACACAGGAATGAGGAATAGACCCCGGGCCCAAATGCACTCTTCGAATAAATTGGCAACATTTATAGCCTTTACCTAGGCTACAAGAGTGGCCCGGGACCACTAGCCCAGCCGGTCCAAAAAAAAATCAAAAAAATAGGAAGTAAAAATTATTATTTTTTCCATTTTATTTTTTACTTCTTTGGTAAAGAAGTTCGATGTGACCCTGAGGCAAACGTTGTTCAGTTTATTTTTCTGCATAACATTTTTTTTTCCATATTTTTTGGATATTTTGCATTGTTGCACCCCCCGACGGTCGGCGGCCCTTGACTGGTCGGCACCTACCGGTCGGGGGTCGTCGGCACCCTGCAAAAAAAAAAAGAAAAAAAGAAAAAAAAAGGTATTAGGTTTGTATGATTTAACCTTTTTGTTTAGTTTCTTGTATTCATTGATTACAGTCAGTGTGATTTTTTTCTCATTTTATCACATTGATTTCAATATGTATTTGAGTAGAAAAATTCATGATTATGAGAATTATCATTTTATTTATAAGATGCAAAAATAAAGAAAAGAAGAGGCGCTAATGTTAGTAAGGATACTATCTCCAATATGATAACTTCTATAAGAAACGGTAATTTAAGCAAAGCTAAAATAGTCCAAATTCCAGCGACACAAGCTGCCAGAAGCATACTTGCGGCGCACCTGCACTGTGCGCTGCGCAGTGCGCTGTGCGCGGACCGAGGGTGCGCGCGCACCGGCGCGCCCCGCGCATCTGGGTGCGCAGTGCGCGCTGCGCACATCTGGTGTGCTGTGCGCATGTGCGCAATGTATATTTCCATGTTCTAGTGGTAATTCATTTGATTTTGTTCTCTCTCTCTCTCTCTCTCTCCCCTCCTGACTTCTTCCGCCGCTCCCCACCATCCCACCTTCGGCCTTTCTCCCGCCTTCCGCCATCC